GCTGATGCTGATGATACTGCTGATGATGCTGCTGCTGATGATGATGATGGTGATGATGATGATGATGATGAGGATGATGATGATGATGATGATGATGATTAGGATGATGCGGCTGCTGCTGCTGATGATGATGAGGGTGATGATGATGATGATGATGATGATGATCGTAATGACGAGGATGATGATGATAATGATGATGATGATGATGAAGCTGATGATGATGCCGATGATGATGGCGATGATGATGATGATGATGATGATGATGATGATGATGATGATGATGATGATGATGCTGATTATGATGATGATGATGATGCGTACGCTGAGGATGATTGTTATGATGATGACGATGCTGGTGATGCTGATGACTAATATGATGATGATGCTGATGATGATGCTGATGATGATGATGCTGATTATGATGATGATGATGATGATGATGATGCGTACGCTGAGGATGATGGTTATGATGATGACGATGCTGGTGATGCTGATGACTAATATGATGATGATGCTGATGATGATGCTGATGAAAATGATGACGATGATGATGATGATGATGACGATTCTGGCGATGACGATCATGATGCTGATGACGCTGATGCTGCTGATGATGATGATGATGAAGATGATGATGATGATGATGCTGATGATGATGATGATGACGATGATGATGATGATGATGATGATGATGATGATGATGATGATGCTGACGATGATGAATATGATGATGATGATGCTGATGATGCTGATGATGCTGATGATGCTGATGATGCTGATGACGATGATGCTGCTGATGATGATGAGGATGATGAGGATGAGGATGAGGATGAGGATGAGGATGAGCATGAGCATGAAAATGAGAAGGATGCTGGTGAGGAGGGGGGGGGAGGATCATTTAGAGCAGGATGGCGAGGAGGAGGAGGAGGAGGAGGAGGGGGAGGAGGAGAAGGAGAAGGAAGAGGAGGAGGAGGAGGACCAGCACGCATCCTGACATGGGGGTTCTGCCGTCTTGGCTGCAATCGCGCGGCGGCGCGGAGATCTGGTTGGCGAGATCGGGCCGCGCGCGGGGGGGGGGTCACTCTCCCCGCGCGCGCTCCCCGCTCCAGCCCTACCTACCCTCCTCCCGCTCCTGCTCCTGCTGCTCCTGGGCTAAATCTGCCAGGAGCTGGGCCAGGGGGATGAAGGGGCGAAGGTGCACCCTGGGCTTCTTGGGGTGCCTTCCTTGACACATCTCAGTCCATGCATACTTGGATCCACGGGTGCCGATGATGCCTAGTATGATGATGATGATGATGATGATGATGATGATGATGATGATGATGATGATGATGCTGATGCTGATGCTGATGATGCTGATGATGCTGATGATGATGAGGATGATGATGATGATGCGGACGATGCTGACGATGCTGATGATGCGGATGATGCTGATGCTGTTGATGTTGATGTTGATGCTGATGCTGATAATGATAATGCTAATGATGCTGATGCTGCTGCTGATGATGCTAATGATGATGCGGCTGCTGATGCTGATGATGATGATGGGGGAAGAGGAGGAGTAGAGTAGATAGTGGTGATGCTGCTGCTGCTGATGATGATGCCGGTGATGGTGGTGGTGGTGATGATGATGATGATGCTGATACTGATGCTGATGCTGAAGGTGATGATGCTGATGATGATGATGATGCTGCTGATTATGATGATGATTTTGATGTTGATGATGCTGGTGATTATTGATGATGTCGAACATGCTGGTTATGAGACTTAGAAAGGGAATGAGGATGAGGATGAGGATTCTGTTGAGGAGGGGGAGGGGCATAATTTAGAGCAGGAGGATGAGCAGCAGTTGGAGGAGGAGGAGAAGTAGGAGTATGAGGATGAGTAGGAGGAGAGGGATGCCGATGATGACTATGATGATGCTGCTGATGATGATGCTGATAATGCTGCTGCTGATGGTGATGAGGATGCTGGTGATGATGACGATGATGATGCTGATGATGATGATTATGATGATGTTGAGTGCGATGTGGAGGATGAGACAGAGGAATATGCGGAGGATGCATGTGTTGGTGATAAGAACGGGGACTCGCACGGCCATGATTGGGTGCCGTTGATAAAGGCGGCGATGACGACAAATGCGACGACGATGATGAGGCTGATGATGGCACGGATGTCGTTGCTGTTGGTGATGATTTTGGTAATTTTGATGGTGATGCTTATGATGATGATGCTAATGCTAATGCTAATGCTGCTTATGATGCTGCTGCTGACGATGATGATACGGATGATGATGCTGATGATGATGATGCTGCTGATGCTGATGCTGATGATGATGATGCTGATGCTGATGATGATGATGATGATGATGATGATGATGATGATGATTATGCTGATGATAATGATGATGATGATGATGATGATGATGATGATGATGATGATGATGATGATGATGATGATGATGATGATGATGCTGCTGGTCGTGATGCTGATGATGAGAATGATGATGATGCTGAGTGTGATGAGGAGGATGAGACAGAGGACGATGATGCGGGGGCCAGTGTTGGTGATAATAATGGGGACTCGCGTGACCATGATTGGGTGCCGATGATAAAAAGGTGGCGATGACGGCAATCGCGACGACGATGATGATAAGGCTGATGATTGCACGGGTGTCGTTGCGGTTGATGATGATGTTGGTAATTTTGATGATGCTGATGATGATGATGCTGATGATTATGCTGATGATGATGCTGAGGATGAGGGGGTGATTCGTACGAATGCGACGGCGATCATTATTCCTATGCTGCTACGGAGGGTAATTATGGCGGTGATGATGATGTTGATGGCGGTGGTTGTGTTGGCGGTGATGGTGGGTAGTGATGATGGGGTGAACGTGATGGTTTTGATGACGATGCGGCTGGTGTTGCTAGTGACGAGCAGTATGATGCTGATGGTGCTGTCATGGTATCAATTATGGGACTGAAGGTGCGGAGGAGGAGGAGGAGGATTGTGGGCTGGGTGCGGTGTTTTTTTGTTCGTGGGGGTGGGGGGATGGTGGGGATCAGGAGGAGGACGATGAGGAGGATGAGGATACCGAGTAGGATGATGAGCAGGAGATGAGGATAATAAGGATGATGATGAACATGAGAAATAGGATGGGGAGGGCGAGGAGGAGGAGGATGAAGAGGATAGGGAAGAGGAAGCTGAGGAGGAGTAGGAGAAGGAGGCATGCACAAAGATGACGAAGACGACCTGCCAGTACTAATCGAACAAATGTACACCAGTGCAGCAAGACAGACGATGAACCAACCGAGGCTCGACCCCCGCAAGCTAAGAGACCTGAAGCACATCGACAAGTTCAGGAAATAACGCCAGCGACAACCACACATGGTAGACCGACATCAACACGCACGCCCACGAATTGACTCAACAAGTGGAAAGAGCAGCACAGACAGCATTTAAGCAAGCCTACATACGGCAGCACAAGCCATACATCACCGAGCCCAGCTTTGCATTGCTGAGAGTGAGAAGGGCATGCCAGATGCCCGTGCGCTCGCTAAGGTACGAAGGCGACACCCCTTGGCCGAAATCCAGATCACCAAGCTAGCTATTCAGCTGAACGGCACCAGCATACGTACGTTCACGGCAATGGGAGCACTTCGACGGACCGATGCCTTCATCAGCCTCATCCTTAGCGCGACCATCTTGGTGCACTACGAGACCGACCACTACGAGTTGGCAGTGGCAGTTATAGCTTTTCTTTGAGACTCATCGCCGCAGCTCACAGGCGCCATAGAGGCCGATCGCTTTAGTTTCCTAGAGAAACGCGCAGCACATAGTCGACGACATTGCGAAACACGTCCCCACCAAGGAATTGAAAGCAATGAGGAGATAGCTAATCTTTGGGAGAAGGCCGCCCAGAGTAGTACCAGAACGTCAATACGCACTCGACCCAGGGGGTAAACTCATCGACAGCACAAACAAACAGGTGGCGGCCGAATTTTCACCACTTCACCATTGCAGAGCACTTCCTCATCAAAATCCCACGGGGGATATGCCAACTACAGCGAACATGCGAAGGACGCAATCATCATCAGCACCATGCTGGACACCCTCATCGACAACATCGCGACGGGGACGAATGAACATAATTCGTGACAGTGGCGCGAAGAAGCAGTCATACAAGGGGGGCCCGACGGCATCCTGGATGACCTAGCAGCGGCAGAACCCGAAGAAATTACAAGGCTGCTCCACCCGCTCATCACCAAGGCCCAGGTCGTCACATTGGAACCACTATCCCACAACAAAGGCTGGCAGGCAATCTTCGCCAAACCCGGCAGCACCAAACTGGACACAGCAGCGCGATGGATGATACTCCTCAACAACGTCATCGCGAGGCGCCACCGCAGCTTCTTGCGGGGAAGGCTCAAGGCAATAACCGCTGACCTGATGTTGGGTGCGCAAGTTGGAGCAAGGCCACACCACGGCTCTGACTTCGTGACCCACACCACGGTCACCTACCTCGATGAAGTGAAGATGGAGGGACACACTGCGGTGATGCGGTTCGTCGACACCAAGGACGCCTTCTGCTGAGTGGTCTCTTACAGAGGGTATACAATATCAGCACCGAGCTGGACGAGATCATCGACCTCATGATGACCATCGACATCCGAAGTATCTATAAGGAGGAGGGATGGAGGAGGATGAGGAGGAGGATGAGGAGGCGGAGGCGGAGGTGGAGGAGGAGGAGGAGGAGGGGGAGGAGGAGATCGAGGAGGGCGAGGAGAGCGAGGAGAGCGAGGAGGAGGAGGAGGGCGAGGAGGGCGAGGAGGGCGATGAGGCGAGGAGGACGCGGAGGAGGAGGAGAAGGAGGACGAGGAGGAGGAGGAGGAGGAGGAGGAGGAGGAGGAGGAGCTCGTTCTTCGCCGCGAGGCGGCAGATCCGCCACTCGTGCCGGCGCGCGCCGCCCGACGGCGCGCGACCCCCGCGGCGGTGGCGACGCTCGCGAGTATTGGTGGCGCGCTGGGGGGGGGGGATGAAGGCGGCGGGTCTTCTCAGAAGCCCGCAGGCTTTCCGAGAAGGCCGGAGGCCTTCGGCCCCCCCCCCCCAGGGCGCGCCGCCAAGAGCGAGGACAAGCCTGTCCACGGACCCGAGGACAGGCAGCTGGCCAGACGACAGACCGGCGGAGGGTTTCCAGCCCGGCCGCGCCACAGCCTTCGCGGCGCACAGGCGTCGGATGACGCGCGTGGGTGGCCGAAGGGCGCACTCGCTTTTCACCCGCGGGGGCGGCGCTGCAGAGACAGATGTTGGCGCCAGAGTTGCATCAGGAGTCTGGCTCCAGCGCGGGCGGGGGATGCCGATTGTGACGACGACGATGACGGTGATGGTGATGGTGATGGTGATGGTGATGGTGATGATGATGTCTTTGATGATGACGATATTAACGATGCTATGATAAGGTGGTGATGACGATGACGATGATGATGGTGATGGTGGTGATGATGAGGGTTGTGGTGGTGATCCTGATGTTGATGCTGATGATACTGCTGCTGCTGCTGCTGCTGATGATGATGATGATGATGATGATGATGATGATGATGAGGATGGGGATGGGGATGGGGATGGGGATGGATATGATAATGAAGATGAATATGGTAACGATTATAATAGTATTGACGCTTCGCGTATCCCCACCAGCCCATCCAGAAACGATCAGCAGGGGAGTTGGTGAATCAGGGGCGGCAGAACGCATACAGTCGCGCAGCCGTCTTCGAGAACACAAGCATCACACATAGCTTCCCGCATTGAAGTTTAAGATGGAAATCCGTGCAAATTACGATGGTGCTTCGATGAGAGGTGAGGGGCATTTAGATGACTCGTAATGTCTGTTGCACTGCTTTGTATCTTAAACTGGCGTGCGTTCCGAAACTTGGAGGCACCTTGGGGCCCTTTTGGGATTCTCTTGGGCCCCTCTTGGGGCCTCCTGGGGCTCTTTCTTGGGGCTCTCCTGAGGTCCTCTTAGGGCCTTCTTGGGGCTTCTTGGGGCTCTTTTGGGGCCTTTTTGGGGCCCTCTTGGGGCTCTTTTGGAGGGTCTTGGAGCCCTCTTGGGGCTCTTTGGGGGGGTTCTGGGAGGCCTCTCGGGGTCGTCTTGGTCCTTATGGCTAAAGAAGGGGGGGGGGGGGGGCAATTCTTGCCACCCCCCTCGGAGGCTCAAAAATGCCGTCTTGGGACCCTCTTGGCCCGCTCTTGGAGCGCTCTTGGGCGCTCTTGGGGCCGTCTTGGGGCTCTCTTGGGCCCCTCTTGGGGCTGTCTTGGGCCATCTTGGGGCCATCTTGAGGCCTCAAGAGCCCTTCGGAGGCGAAAAAGCGAGAAGACAAACCACATTGATTTTCCTTAGGTTTTTGAAGGATTTTGGCCTCTTGGGGGGGGTCCTTGGAGGCCTCGGAGGGCACTTGAAACCGTCTTGGGGCCGTCTTGAAGCCTCTTGGACGTATGTCGGAGGTTATCTTGACCCGTCTACCGCTATCTTGGGCCATCTTGGAGGCCATCTTGCGCTCTCGGAGGCCCTCTTGGAGCCATCTTGGGCCATCTTGGACGCTGCTATGGGTCCGCCCCCCCCGTCCAAACGCAGGGAGGGGGGGGAGGTAAACCTCCCGAGCAGGGAAAGGCAGGAGGTTGGGAAGGGAAACGCTCTAGACCACCTGCGCCCAGAGGGCTGGTGGGATAATGCTGATGATGAGGATGAGGACGAGGATGATGATGCGGATAATGATCATGAGGATGATGGTGATGAGGATGCTGAGGATGAGGAGGTGGAGGATGAGGAGGTGTAGGGCCAGGATGAGGAGGATGAGGAGTAGGGAGTGATGGTGATGCTGCTGCTGCTGCTGCTGATGATGATGGTGGTGATGATGATGATGATGATGATGATGATGATGATGATGATGATTATGATGATGATGATGATGATGATGATGATCATCATGATGATGATGATGATGATGATGATGATGATGATGATGTTTATGATGATGCTGGTGGTGATGATGATGATGGTGATGGTGGTAGTTGTGCTGGTGATGATGATGCTGATGGTGGTGGTGGTGCTGGTGGTGGTGGTGAGGTGGTGGTGGTGGTGGTGGTGGTGAGGTGGTGGTGGTGGTGGTGGAGGTGATGATGATGATGCTGATAAAGATGATGATGATGGTGATGATGATGATGATGATGATGATGATGATGATGATGATGATGATGATGAGGATGAGGATGAGGATGATGATGATGATGATGATGATGAGGAGGAGGAGGAGGATGATGATGAGGAGGAGGAGGCAGGCCGTGTCGAAACGACTAGGGGTGCGACAGGAAGGAGTTACGTATGAGGCAACGGATGAGGAGGATAAGGCAGTATATGAGGCGGATGAGGATGCGCGGGCAGCACCGAGCTCGATGTGGCACTCGTGTTCAGACCAACAGATTCTGCTGTTACCATGACTTGGAAAGTGGCAGGTGTTCGACCACGACGGTTTATGTGTACCCGCGACAGGTTAGATCGGCGTTTGCTACGGCAAGTGCAGATCGCCATTCTCGGCACCGTTGTCGCTGCCATTCTTGCGCACTTAGTGTCACCCTCGTCATCCTCATCGTCCCTATCGTCTTCCTCCATATCGTCGCCATCATCGCCAGCAACTTGTGTACGCAAAGACGTGTCGCCGGCAATCTTCAGAACATTCACTCACGCCCCGTCTCGCGATGCACTATTCGATGGATCCTCCCAGGGAGGCCACAGCAACACGACCACTTCATGCGCTACGAGCTCCAACAATGGAATCGGGCTGATCCTCTGACTCACAGGGTTCGCTCTTGTCGTTCGGTGCTTGGCCAGTCCCTCGATATTCGTTTCAGGCAGATGGCTGTCGGCCATGCTCTGGAGCATACCCAAGGCGTGCTTTCTGAACATGTGATGTGGAATGGGCAGCGGTACGAGCGGGAGTTGTTCTCGACAACTGCCCGCTCTGGCCTCGCCCACACGCCATTCGCAGGTGGTCCCGTTCGTGGTGCCCAAGGATCTCTCGGCCGCGTTCCCCTCCTCCCCTTCCTCTTGATCCTCTTCCTTCGCACAAGAGCTCATCCCGAGCTATTCGGGCCTGGGTGATTGTGGGTATCTCGGTGGCAATGGTTGATCTGATGGTGTCCTTCGAGGACGTCCCAAGAACATCCCGAAGGCATCCGAAATCATTGTCGTCGTCGTCGTCGTCGTCGTCGTCGTCGTCGTCGTCGTCGTCGGCGTCTCTGGCGGAGGGGCCAGGAGGTCCCCGCTACTCCCCAGGCGCCCCAGGAGGTCTCCGGGGAGCCAGATCTTCGATCCGCCTCATTTTCCTCCTCGATACTTGCTTCTCGGCGTCGTCGTCGTCGTGGCCGCCGCCGCTGCCGCAGTTCCCGTCGCCGTCGCCGTCGCCATCGTTCCGTCTTCTTCGTCGCCGCCGCCGTCGCCGTCGCCGTCGCCGTCGCCGTCGCCGTCGCCGTCGCCGTCGGCGTCGGCGTCGGCGTCGGCGTCGTTGTCGTCTTCGTTGTCGTTCGACTCGCGCTGCCCCGTGAGGGTCCCTGCGCCCGCCCGACCCGCCTGTGTGGGCCCGCCCACCGGAGCCGACCCGCCCACCCCAAAGGCAATCCTGCCCGAGTGCGCCCCGCGCTTGGAGGTCCCGCTCGCCCGACCCGCCCGTTGGGGTCCATCTGCCCGACCTGCCTGCTGGAGGCCGCCCGCCCGACCCGATGGGTCCGCCCGAGTGACGGTCCTATTCGAGTGCTCCCGGCATCTGGATGTCCCGCCCGCCCGACCCGCTTGTTAGAGGGTCCAGTCGCCCGACCTGCCCGTCAGGGTCTGCCCGCAGCGAGCCCCGGGCGAAGCGGACCTCGGCGAGGGGAAGCTCCGGCGAAGCGAACTCCTGGCGACGCGAACCGGGGCAAGAGAAGCGGACCGAGCGTGCCCCTGGTGGAGCGAGCCTCGGGCGAGCCGAGCCCCCCGCGAAGCGAAGCCCCCGACCCGAGAGCTCTCTGCAGAGCGAGCCCGCGCCCTCCCCTTCCCCTGCCCCTCTGCAGCCGCTCTCTGGCCCAGGTGTCCGCGCCGCGCCGCCCGCCCCCCCCGTGCTGTCCCGACCGCCGCTGCAAAGGGCGATATGTTCGCCGCCTGCCCGCAGCAGGCGGGCTCGGCGGTGCCTGCCGTCGTGGGCTGGCCCGTGGTCCAGGAGACAGCACGGCGGGAGTTCCTTGGCCGTGTTCGGCCTCCGGGGGCCCTCGCTGGGCCCCAGGACCGTCGCGAAACGACTCGGGATAAAGAACCGGCCCTGGGGAGCCGGTCGGGACTTACGGGGGCCCCGTGTATGGACAAACATCAGACGTCACATGTCTGGGATTGCGAGCCCTATGGCCAAGACGCTAAAATAAGTAAGGAGCACTTCGGGTTCGGAAGGGTCTCGCTGTTCCTGAGGTCCTTTAGTAGTTGCTCCTCCAGCGCTCGTCGTGCACCCAGGCGCATTTTTGGGGCTAGAGGGTTCGTTCCTTACTCAGCGGTCCGTATGGCACGATGGCTGTACCTCTCTAGGCCTCCCAGATGGGGTCCGAGAAGATGTGGTCGGAGGATCGTGCCGCATCGCCGATGCATCGGCGATGCGGCTTGATGTGGAGCCCGACCTTCTCCACGCCGATGTCGCCGATGCAGCGCCGACGTCGCCGATGCAGCGCCAATGCGTCGCCGATGCATCGCCGATCTGGTGCAATCCCCCGACCCCGCCCACTCGGATCCCATTCGGGAGGCCTTGAGGAAACCAAAGCCACGGTTGAGTCGGGCACGTCCCTCTACAGGAGGAATATTCAAAAATAGTAAAAAATAGTCGGGGGACGATTTTTTGATTATTGATTCGACTACTTTTGAGGATTTTTTGACTATTGCTTATTTTTCTGCCAAAGTCCGCATGTAGGGGGACATGCCCGACCTGACGCTACATCCCCTGGGGTGCGTTCTGACCTCAATATCGAGGCGAGTCCGGCGGTGGCGACGAGGGCCCCCCAGGAGGCCCAGAAGAGGGGACAATCGGGCGGAGGGTAGCGGCATATAGGCATCTTCTCCTCTGAGGCCAAGAGTCCTCGTCTAGGAGGCGTCCAACCTCTGCGCGGCTCATGCACAACAGTTCCCGGATGCCCGCGGGGACCTCCAGTCCAGGGGCCCCCCGACGGGCTGGTGGCCACACCGTGTGGCGAGTCGGTGGGGCTTCGGGGTCGCCGCACGGCCCTGGGACTCGAGGCCCCTCTCCGAGCACCTCTCGGGCGGCAGGGGCCTCCCAAGGCCGTGCGGTGACGGGCCGTTTCCTCTGCAAGGTCAGCTTTTACCAAAATGCCGTGCGGGTACCAAAAGATGCCGCAAACGGGCCGTTTACCTTTCAAGATGTGAAGGGTAGATTTGGCATCTCTTTTGCCAAAATGCGGTGTGCACCAGAAGGTGGGACTCGAGCCCCTCTCCAAGGCCGTGCGGTGACGGACCGTGCGGTGAGGCCTTCGGGGACCTCGAGGCCACCGCCGGGTCTGCCGCCACACGGCCTCGGGAGCCTCGGCCCGTGCCGGCGCCAGGGGGTCCTCCACGGGCCTGGCCTCCGGCGCCGCCCGGAGGGGGGCGCGCCTCTGCCAGTGCCCGCCCACGAGGTCCGCGCGGCCCTGCGAGAGGTTTTGCTCACGTCGCCGTCGTCGTCTGTCGTTGTCGTCGTCTGTCGTCGTCTGTCGTCGTCTGTCGTCGGCGTCGTCGGCGTCGTCGGCGTCGTCGTCTGTCGTCGGCGTCGTCGTCGTCGTCGTCCGTCGCCCGTCGTCGTCGTCGGCGTCGTCGTCTATCGTGGTCGTGGTCGTGGTCGCCGTCGTCGTCGTCGTGGTCGTCGTCGTCGTCGTCGTCGTCGTCGTGGTCGTCGGTGTTGGCGTCGTCCCTCCACGGAAGACGCCTTAGCAGAGTAAAACGCAGACGCACCAAGAAAACCTAAATCGAGGAGAAGCCCAATTCGATGAAGCAGCCAGAGGAATCACGAGGAACGCTGCGGAATCCGGGAGGATCCCGAGGGATCTTGTGGGATGCAGAAGACTCCCCGGGGCATCTCTGCAGCGCGAGAGTGCCTCGGACCCCCGACGTGGGGATCTCTTCGTGCCGTGGAGCCCCGCAGGTCTCGGCCCACTCACGGGGGCCAGCTTCTCGTCCCGAGTCGCTTTCTGAGGGTCTCGGGGCCTGGCAGCAGGGCCCCCCTCAGGGGCCGAAAGCAGAGAGAACCACCACGACGCGAGGGGGCCTGGCGCATCGTTGCCGCCGCCCACGATCGGCGGCGGAGTCCGAGCCCCACCACGCCGATGCACGATTCAGGCAGCTCGAAAGGCGGCGGGGGTGGGGTCCGGAGTTCGTCGGACACGCGGCGAAGTCCGAACCCCACGCCCGCCTCCCATCGACTCGGGGGAGTCCCAGACCCTCGACGTCATGACTTTTTCACAGCGTCGACCCTCAGAGGTCTAGACTTATGTCGGGCCTGTCCCCCTACAGGGGGATTTTCGACGAAGAATAAAAAATACCCCCAAAAATAGTCCCAAAATGCTCCAAACATAGTCTGGGGACTATTTTTTGAGTATTTTTTTGACCTTTCTGGGGTATTTCTGGTGTATTTTTTAATTTTTCGTCGAAAATCCTTCTGTAGGGGGACACGCCCGACTTAAGTCTAGACTCACTCCCCCGGACCGGGCTTCGATCCCGAGTCGTTCTCCGACGGCCCCGAGGCCTGTCAAGGGCCTCCAGGGTCCGACCAGAGGCTGGACATGGCGAAAAGCCGCCCGTCATTCTAGGCCTTCTAGATGGAGGCCGAGTGGATGGGGTCGGAGGATCGCTCCGCATCGCCGATGCATCGCTTTTGCGGCTCGATGTGGGGCCTGATTTGCTTCACGTCGACGTCGCCGATGCATCGCCGACGTCGACGATGCGTCGCCGGTGCATCACCGATGCGTCGCCGATGCATCGCTGATGCATCGGCGATGCGGCGCGATCCTCCGACCCCAGCCACTCCGACCCCATCTCGGAGGCCTCCAGTCATGATTTTTTCATTGCCCGGGGGGTCTTGGATCGATGGCTGGTGGGGGTGGGGTGAAGTCGGGCATGTCCCTCTGCAGGAGAAGATAGTCCAAACATAACATGGGGACGATTTCTCTACCCTTTTTGATCATTTCCCAACCGTCCTGTGGTGTTGGGTCCTCGTTTTGAAGAGACGGTCCCTGCGTTCACTCCTCCTCCTCCTCCTCCTCCTCCTCCTCCTCCTCCTCCTCCTCCTCCTCCTCCTCCTCCCGCTGCCCCTCCCCCCTCTCCTTCCTCCCCCTCCTTGCCTCTGTCCTCCGAATGTCTGTGTTTCGGCGCACGCAGTGCAACGCTTCGTGGCCCCGTGGGGAGCTCCACCGAAGGCCCCAGTGGCAGGGTCCACATGGCGGCGCCGCCCCATTTTGGCGCACCCCTCACACGGGTCGTGGCCCCATGGGGAGCTCCACCGAAGGCCCCAGAGGCAGGGCCCACATGGCGGCGCCGCCTGATTTTGGCGCACCCCTCACACGGTTCGTGGCCTCATAGGGAACTCACCGAAGGGCTTAGTGGCAGGGTCCACATGGCGGCGCCGCCTGATTTTGGTGCACCCCTCACACGATTCGTGGCCCCATAGGGAGCTTTACCGAAGGGCCTAGTGGCAGGGTCCACATGGCGGCGCCGCCCCATTTTGGAGCACCCCTCACACGGTTTGTGGCCCCATAGGAAGCTTTACCGAAGGCCCTTCTGGCGGAGTTCGCACGGCGGTGCCGCCCCATGTTGGAGCACCCCTCACACAGGTCGTGGCCCTATAGGGAGCTCCGCCGAAAGTGGCGCCACAACACGATATTCACAATTGCACATGGTTGGGTCCTTCGCCAGGATTATTTTGAGCATTCTTCGATTTTTTTGTGTTGTTTTCAAAAATCCGCCTGTAGGAGGACATGCCCGACCTAAAGGTGGGGCTCGGAGGCCGCCACCGTGCGCGAGGCGCCGCAGCTGTGGCAGCCGCCCCCGGGCGCGCACGTCGCCGTGGCCCACCACGGCCTCGTGCAGCAGGTGCCGCCTGGGCCCCGGGTCGGCGGCGCGCGCCAGAGGGTGGAGTGAGGAGGTAGAAGGCCATCGGTACCGGCAGTCGGGGGCGGCGCCTCCTCCTCCTCCGCCTCCTCCACCACCACCACCACCACCTCCTCCTCCTCCTCCTCCTCCTCCTCCTCCTCCTCCTCCTCCTCCTCCTCCTCCTCCTCCTCCTCCAGGGGGCCTGAGCTGGATTGGGACCCCCAGAAAATCGGCCAGGAGGGGGGAGGAGGCCCAATTTGATTAGAACGGGTTCCCGGACCCGTCCCAGGGTCCATCTGGTGCAAGCTAGTCCACCCCAGATCCGCTTTTGACGGCCCCGGGGCCCGAAAGCAGCCCCTGGAGGCTGAAGAGAAGCAAACGGCACCTTCCCGAATCCCAGAGCCTCGAACCTCGAACCTCGCCCCCCTCCTCCCTGCTCGCCGCCACCAGTGCTGGGCCACCTCGGGCGCCCAGCCGGCTGCACGGCGGCAGGCTCGCCTGCGCCTCCGCCTCCGCTCGCGCTCGGCCCCGGGCCCCCCCCCTGACCGGGCCCCGGGTCGACCTCGGGCGCCCCTGTGGCTCGAAGCTGGCCTCGGGGCGCGCAGGCCCGGGTGCCCCCGACGGGAGAGGCCCACGTCGCCCACCAGGCCACCCCGACCCAGCCCGAAGGCCTCGTCGTCGTCGTTTTGCCTGCTTCTCCCCTCCTCGTCCCCCTCCGCCGGGCCGCGCAGCCTGCCCGGAACCAGCGTGGCGGCATGTAGGGCTTCTTCTCCGACTTTGGCTCTGAACTTAGAGGAACTTGCCCGTGCGTCGCTTCGAAGGCCTCGATTTGCCCTCCCTCGCCAGTGGGGGGGGGGTCGGGGAGCGCTGGAAGAACACATGGAACCCGTGCCCCCCCCCCCAACCCCGAAATTCGGGCGAAGTTCGGGTCTTCGGGTTGGGTTGGGGTGGCTCGGTATAGGTGGTCAGAGGCCCGGCGGCGCGCCCCGGACCCAGAATCTCGAGCCTCGAATTGTTGCCCCCCCTTCTCCGCTCGCTGGGGCCGATGCTGGGCCTTCTCGAGCCGCGCCCCTTCCCCAGACCCCCTCGAGTCATGATGTGATCACGACGGGCGGTCTCGCGCTGTTTTCGGCCTCCGGGGCCCTTCCCAGGCCTCGGGGCCGTCCAAGAACGACTCGGGATGTGTCGTGCGGGGTGGTCTATCGTTGCGAGTGGTGCAACCATAGCAGCGAATCTTAGACGTTCAGTCGTGCTCATAACTCCTTTGTCGTCGAGAAGAACAGAAACGGGTCCTGGGGAATGGGTCGAGACCTCTGGGGGCCGACGTTGCGAAAAAATCATGACGTCGGGGGTCTGGGTCGTGAGCCCCGCCCCCCTTACTGCGGGCGGCCGTGCTGTCCTCCTTCCTCGAGCGCTTCTGCTGGGTGGGTTCGGTAGCAAGTCATGGGAGCCTGGCGACCTCTTTAAATTCTGTCTTTAGCGTCGAGCGTCTAGGAGTCGATGAGATAGCGCTGATTTGGCGTCGGCTAGCGTCGATTCAGCGTGAGGAGGAGGAGGCCGAGGAAAAGGAGGATGAGGATGAGGATGAGGATGAGGATGAGGAGGAGGAGGAGGTGGAGGAGGAGGAAGAGGAGGAATAATAATAATAGTAATAATAATAATAGGAATCATAGTAGTCATAATACTACTACTAACAATAGTAGCAATGATAATAAGACGTAGTACCCCGCATATGCGGGTAAGAGTGAGGGGGCGGTGGGGACGTCGGCAGAAGCCCCCGCAGGAGCCACAGTTTCACAAACTATACGACGAGCCCGCCGCAGGCGACGATTTTTTCGTTAAATCAAAGTGGATAG